TAAAATACAAATAGTGCCATTTTAAATGAAGTTAGAAGCTCAACAAAATGTTCATCTGAAGGAATCAAGGGAAATAAATTACAACAGTGTGTATGTGGAGGGATTTTCAGATACAACACTTTCGAAGAGAATCTTACAGTGATTTATTTGGACTCACCATATATCTGCCACATGCTACAGGGCAATTAAAGCTGGTTCTTGTGAGCGTACACACTAATCGCGACCATACAAATAAGCACCCATGCATATGCCGATTTGCTATTATTCGTGTCGATACAGTCAAAAACCTCTAAAACCACTACACGAGAGTTTTCATCGAGTAATGGAATGAATGTAAATCTCTTCATCATAGTAAATACTATCTTAAAAATTCCCATTTTACAAATAAGAACAACATAACATATAAACGAAAAATATTATTTTCAACTACATTTTCATCAGGCTTTATTCTTATATACAAGAATACTTATTTACATTTTGTAGTTATTTAACCAATCAAGGCCGTTTATGAGTTTGTGACAATAGTGGAATTGACTACATTAATAACTAATGAGTGAAAAGTACAAATTGTTTGCGTAATCACAGGTGTTCTAGTCGTGACAAGAATAATAAAGGCTTAAATCACTGACTCATAGCAAGAAGTAGGTCGGTGACCTGAAAACGTAGACACGCTCAACTTGCTGTACTGATTTATTTGTTCTTCAAGGACCAATAATCCTCCAACTGAGTTGCTTACTGAAACCAAACGTTGTTCCCAAAATTAGTGTACATCTGGAGCGTCACATCCATTGAAGATCCATTGTCGATTGTTTCGCAACCCCGGAAAAGTTGTATCCTTTAGATGCTTCCAGTGTCTCGACAGTTGTTCGATTATGGGCCTTACACTGTCGGCCGGTGGCCACTTCGTCGTATAACCTCTACTGATCTGTGTAGATCCACTATCACCCAAAGAAAATACCTCTAAATTTACTCCCAAACACTCACAAGAAGTGTCATTCACATCTGTTGTATTTCTCAAGGCTTATTTGCCTTCGAGACCCAACTGATTAGTTATTTCTTCACAAACGAGAGAGGTGTCAGAACCGCTATCTAAAGGGGAGTGAGTTTCGAAACATCTTGACTGGAATAATACCCAAATAAATCTTTGAGAAGTTCAAATCCCTTGCTAAACTCACTACATGGTTATAATTATTACCAATTTGTGGCATCAAATGGGTTGAAACTTGCAGTTGTTAAAGTCACAGTTTAAGGCCGAGTTATATGATCTAGTTATATGACCTTTTCAGAAACACAGATAACAAAGACCACATCTTGTTACTTTCTGTCTCCCTACAGAATGTTCATTTTTGATTACTCTGTAAAATCTTACACCTTATGGTAACCTTGTCAAAACTCACCACTTACCACATTAATGCATGCTCTACTATTAACTTGACCTTCATAATATGTTTTACTAGTCTTCTAACTACGTTGTGCCAGCCTATCACACGGCGTTAGAACAAACATGACCCCCTTCTATGAAGGTAGTTAATTATTCAGAGTTGGGCACGTTGACGGCCATTATGGTCATGCTGGCAACTTCTGCCCACTTGTTCTGTAAATACAATGGTAGGTGTGACAGTTGTTTCCCAATTGTTTAGTGAATTCATATCGGACAAATATCTCACAAGCTCCAATGTTTTAGATATATTACGTAGTCTGACCACAAATTCGGCCAAGCAATCAGCTGAGTATGCAACAGGTTTATGGATGAATAAACCTCTAACTCGCTCACGAGCAACCAGACATTTTGTTCCAAATAAATCATGCGGAATCATCCTATGATATTTCGCTTCTTTTTTCCATAGTATATCTCCGTTCCAAACAGACAGCTACAACAAAAGAAATTCAAATATATTCAGACGTGACTCAATGAAATCAACGAATACAATTAAAAACTCAATCCAAAAAACCAGATGGATTTTTCTAATAATGATTATAACAACTGCACAACAAGCCTTCAATGTTAGGGTTTCAGAAGCATAATTTCTAAAATACCAAAACAGCAGCGTGAAACCGAAGACGTACGGTGTCAAAGTCACAAACATGCAAGTTTAAAATTTGAGTGCAACAAATCTACTATGAGCACAGCGAAATTATTGATTTGAAAAGAGATATAAGAAGTATCCAACCTGTTTATGACCAGTCTCACAAAGGTCGTCAGGATAGGCTTTGCCGCCTCACTTTTTTTCTGCCTCCGAAGTTATTTGGAGAGTCAAATGTTTCACACAAGGATAAACAGGGGCTATTCAAACTGGAGATCTCACATGGGACCTTTTCCTTTTCCAGTTTTCTTTGAATAGACTGGCCAGCTACCATCTATGCTGATGACGTGAAATTCTTAAGTTTCTTGGGATCTGAAGAGGACTCACGTGAGTCTCAGATAATTTTCATGTCCCTAGGGAAATTGGCGGAAGACAATCGTTTAAATGTATGCCTGACTGAACACCCAACCTCATGTGACACAAACAACTTGTATCCTCCATGAACATCCAATTCCTGTTGTCTCCACATGGTACGATATTAGCATAAACTATACTAGGGGTGTGGCCGAAGTACATAAAACTCCACAATATATCTGAAGATAGCTTAAAACTCTGACCCGAGAATAATTCCTAGCACTTTGAGTCACAGAGACGGTTTTGCCTTGAAAATTAGGAGAATGAAACGATCTGATAGTGGTGTACCACATACTAGGTAACCCAGGTCACCGGGACACAAAAGTTTCCCCTGAAACCCACTATCGCACGCCACAAGATAATTGTCGGAAGGTTCCACATCAAAGGGCAAACACTCTGGCAAGATCAAACGCTTTCTCACAATAAGCCGGTTTTATCCCAAATGTTCATCCAGCTAATATGACAACAGTTTCCTCGGTAGATAACCCTCAAAGAAGGTTTGACTATCGTCCATACACTCAATCTTGGTCATCTTACTCTTGTAATGGGGGCTAGTTTTATCCCAGAGCGTGGAAAGACATTTAGCACCTACTTTCCTATCTGATTGCTGTCCCGCAAATTATCCATAATTACTAATCTATTTGAATAATACTGTGATTATCATCAACATATTCTACCCACTTTGTTCATAGTCAGCTTCATTTAGCTGTCATTTTCATGCGTCTAGTTGCCCATATCAATTCATTGACTTATTCTGACCGTCATCTTCTCTTAAGTACTTTTCAGTCTACTTTCCTAGTTTTTCACATTACAACTAACCAATCATTTGCGCGGTAACGTGGCAGCTACTGGTTCTTGCAACCCTAGCACTTGACATAAATGGGTCCAGTTAAATTAAAGATATGCGAACATCGAGAAACTATCTGATTCCCCAAGACTGATGCTATCAAACGTTATATTACCCTAGTTGAACTTTATTGGGGACCATAACACCAAGGAAATAATCCAATTAGAACAACTCTCCATAAAAATATTGGATACTGATTTCTTCTCATAGTGTGGGGTACTTGGATAATCCGCTAGAACAGGTTATATCCCACCAATGTGTGGTGTGTTTGTGAGGTAGGGTCTCTCAGCATCTGAAGTCTGACAAAGAATCACCTTAGGTACAACTCCTCTTCTTGGTTCTAAATGATGACCTCTTAGATAAAATTAACTTTCCGACTATCATACGCTCAAGTGATAGCAAGATGTGAAGGTCCATTAGAAAGTAAAACGATTCACTCGAGCTCCAAAAAGGCCATACAATGGCAGAGGGACGGGCGGTAGACGGAAGGTTAACGCTTAACCAGTCGAAATGTTATGTTACGAACATTTTGCCTCAATTGACTGAAATAATCTACGTGCTTCATGGAAATTCGCTTCTTATTGTCTCCTCAGAACGTAATCTGGGGCTACTTTCACAGAGAGCTTAGACGCCATCTGAAAATACATTTAGGATGCAGCCAATACAAATGCAACTCTTCACTTTATGCAAAGACAACTTGGTACACTCGCCCCAAAATTGTTTCCTCCAAATTAACACGTACCCAAAACATTACTCCAAATTCCACAATATTGGGTCTCCACACTTCGAACGAGACATAAGTGTCACAAACCAAGTATATAGACCGACAACCAAACAGGTCAAAGAATAATCTTACATAGACAGACTACGACACTTGGAATTATTCTCGCTGAGCTATAAGAGTGTGTGGTGATCTGATAATGATGTACAACATATGAGTATGCCAAGTTGCCCCAACACGTGCATCCCATCAGAACATTATGAGCATGCTTAGCAAACCGACCACCGGAAAACTGCACATCAAGGAGAGAAAGCTCGGTCACACTCTCATTTTTTCTCACTTGGAGTCTCTCCCATTTGGAGTGTTCTCACAACCGAAATGATCACAGCCTCCTCAGCGGATACCTACAAGAAGAGACTTGACAAACACACGCTCACCCATAGATTACCATCTACCACCTTGACTAGCTGTGCTGGATGCATGTCTCGTAACTTATCTACTACTATCGCTATCAAATGTCATTAATTTATTTCTACCTCACTCACTGTCAACTCCGTCTCCCCTTTTCTTCCTACACTATGGTTTGCTCACGATGTTTCCATTGCCAATTTACTAACCTGTTTATTTACTTACTCCTTGAAGCGGTTGTTCACTTTTAGCATTGGAGTTTTCATCTTATTATTTCTCACATTGCAATCATCTAACCTGATGTCTGGTAATGTGACATTTCCTGGTTCAAGAAACCTCAAATGATCTGAGAAAAACCCACTCACTATCATTAGAAGATGTACAAATCCACAACTAGATACCAAACTGAGTAGAAATAGTAAAGTCGAGTGGCTAGACTGTCACTCACTGAACACTGCAAAAGGCCTAAAAGCGCGCAAAAACACCAAGAGGCGAAGACAGGATAATCCATTGATTTTCATAAGCTGGTAAAAAATATATTGGATTTTGGTGGTGCCCCACGCGTGTTTGTTTGTACTGTTTAGTGCTTTAAGGCGCGAAGATTTGTGTGTTATCTGTTCTTGTGATTCTTCATATGATTGTTCGGTGGGTTTTCGCATCGTGTTACAACTTTTGTTATGAAATTATCTTACGAAACTGAATTCTGCTGCAAAATTTCTGTTTTGTCGCAAAACTTTCAATGCGTGCTGAAGTGTAGTAAAACCACTGTGCTCACCCAACGTCCTGGCGCATTGCGTTTCCTATTACCCTTTTAATTTTGGGACTCGCTAAGTATTTCGTGAATTAACTGTTTTCTCTCTCTCTGGTATCCGCAGAACTATATGTATTCAGAACATTTAGGTAAAACTGGTGATGTGTCCTCTGTAAATTGAGTTAGGATGACAATCTATAGTCAGTTACCTTTATTAGGTGCTTCGATTTCCATAAATGTCTCAGTTTTTGCCAATAGTATTGTTAATTACTAGCCAAGGTGCAAGTAGACATCTGACTAACGGTAGTTCCTGTTGTCGAATCTAAATACTTAGAAGTATCTGAAGGATTATGTATGCTGAAGTAGTTGGATTTGGAGATACATTTTTTTTCGGGCACTCGGTGGTCTGTCTGAGTGTATTTATTCACCTCTTGAGTCTAACTGGGGATGTTTCCGAACATTAGACAAAAACTAGCAACTGGACAGCTTCATTTTTTAGCTTTGAATCCGTTTACTAACATTTTAGTCATGAGATACAAACATCACTTATTCCTACAAAGACTGGTCACCTTATATATCAGGTGCTTATTGTGCCACCAGAGATAACTGCATTTTTCAGTAGTTTGCTTGGATTTGACCTCTTGTTTAGCAGTCATTGTTAAATGGTACCACGGTGAGACTATAATTTATGGACGACCCTTGAGCGACGCTAAGGTGACCTTGTGAGTGTCTACCTACTTACTAGAGATAAGTGAGGGTTATAAAGCAGTTTCAAGAATAAGGATTATGATTTATAGTTGATGATTGGGGTCAGGAATTGGATTTAAGGTTTTCAACACGAACTGACATCAGCTATAATACCAGGATTCCATTTAGCCACATCGGTGAATGAATTTCGCGCCAATATGCAAAATCTATTATCGTAAGTCTGATTCGTTCGTCTATAAATTGTAGTCTCACCGGTACCACAGTCTTACAATCATTAGCATCCATGAACTTGATGCATTCTTAAACGGTTTATTGTTCACACTGAAGTCTAGTTAACTGAACCTTACCACCCTAAATGTCTCCAAATAATTTCGATGTGGCTGTATCACTCATTTGATCTGTATTGGTCTCACCATCTTAAATGTAAATTCCAATAGCTTAGTGTGAATCACAGTATTTCTTGGCACCCAGTTGTACTAATTTTACGTGAAATAAGTAGAAGTAAATACATTCTCTACAGTGAGAATTATAGGGCGATGTATCCCATCTACTTGTTGTCCATGTTTGACGTAAAAAGTGCAGCAAATCTGCACCTTCATTTGGCTCATGATTGTATATATATTCACTCTACCATAATTTAGACTTTGATTCCCAACGTCAATTCATATTACTTATGTTGCAAATTTATCCTTCCTTTACGGACCGCGTCCTTTATCTTAAGTCTTTTTGCTATCATTGATACTACTGTCATCCCAACCTATTTACCAAGAACCTTGTTGATTTCGCCTTACATTATAAGATTAACGAGATTCTTGGTAAAGGAGTTGAAATGATAGTAGTAATAATGATAGCGAAAAGACTAAAGATAAAGGACGTGGTCCGAAAAATAAGCTTGCAAAGTAAGGAAAATGACTTGACGTTGGGAATCACTCTAAATTATAGTATAGAGTGAATACATACGCAACCGAACAGCGAATTTCTAGTCACCCTGTTAATGACACTACACGTACCAATATAGAATAATGGTCAGTGGCACCGTCTGTTTGATAGCTATCTCTAGAGGTCATACAGATAACTGTGACTGCGACAAAATTAGTCCAAAGGAATTCTGTGTCTGAAAACGCACTAGGATTATTCATTTCGTGTGGCGCATATATATTGGCGCTCTCTTGTACCAATATTCATGTGTTCAAATAAATAAATTCATTTCGTCTCTTGCGGCCTACAAACTGATGTGCGGCGTTATGTGGGTTTTTTGAGGTAAAGGAGATAGACACATCTAGAATACGGCGCTATAAAAAATGCTTGGTTCAAACCATTGACTTTAATATGGAACGTGTGATCTAACTTTACTCAAACGGCTGGTAAACATTTTTCAAATTGCTAGTTTAAAGACGAATTATTGACATCCACAAAGTCGTAATAGTACATTTATTTAAAACCGAAGACAAGTTTTGTGATTTGATACATCCGGGACTATTTAAATCTGTTATGATATTCGAATATTCAAATGGCATATGAACCTAAGGTTGGTCACCGGCTTCCATGGGACTGCATCTCCTCACGATGCTCCACTGTCTTATGGATCAGACCTTCAGGTCGAAGGCTCGGGGTGTGGCCCTCTAAGAAGACCACCTGCTTCGGTTTGGACACCCGGGTATCACAGTATCACAGCCCTCACACATATGAAATGAGATTTATGTGGCACATATGTATTTGGTGCCTCCTTGTACCAATATCTATGTGTTAAAATAAATAAATAAATGTGATATTCGACGGGTAACAACACCGACTATTTTTTCAGTTATCTTTTAATTATGTGATAAAGATTAAAAGAGTGAATTCAGTAGTAAAAGTGTTATCTTTGTCTTTCAGATAAGCCTAACATGGTTACAGCTGTTCAGCCAATGTTTGGTCTTTTAAAACGACTCCACCTACATCCAATGGAAAATGCTTTAAATGAATTAAGTCCACAAACTTCCCTTCTGCAATCTATAAAGTTTGTAAGTTTTATCTGTTCCTCAGCCATTTCAGTAGAAAGCCCAGCCATTTCTGTTTCGTAAAACCAAATCTGAAGAAATACGACGTAGTCACGACAGTATGGGCCAGAAGAGACCATCACCTTACCTTTCTAACACGGACCTGAAAACTGCCAAACGTTGTAAGTCTTATTTGCTATTATTCACCACTTCCACTATTTCAGCGTAGTCTCTTAGTTGCTTCATTCTTTATGTGATCCAAAATTATTCATTACAAAAAAAACTTGATAATACGTCAGTGAGTGTTGAATACGAGTTTTAAAGACTTGTTTTGGGTTAAAATGATAATTAAAACGCTAATTAACAAGTGATACACAGCTACACAATTTGTTCCACTGTTATGTGCTTGCCGCATCGAATTATTGACGTTAGTCTACGGGTGAAATGTAACGAAAAGACAACACATCTGCTCGAAGAATAGACTCCCACTAGTTAAATGACATGGTTGCGTACAAAATATATAAAACAAAAACAAACATGGTTGGGAGTGATTTGAAATAAGTAAATGGAAGACGTGGATTTTATATGTTGCTCATGCCTTAATGAAATTAATTTCTGTCTATCAACCTCATATGATTAATTGAGGTAATTTTTGATGTAACGTTTGTTAGGATGAAAATCCTTCATTACTATACTATTTCACGCCTAAAGTATCTGATTCTGTTTCTTTTCCAGGATATTTCATTTTAAACACCCTTTTTTACCATCACGATTAGTTTCTAAATTGGGGGTATGCGAAACTGTTCAGACAATTACAATATGTTTATTCATCTTCCACAAAAGTTGTATCTGGACTATCAGGTGTAATAGACTATTTAAGAAACTAGAATCATCAATTACGGTCTCTATCTCGTTCAAACGTTATGTTGTATCGGAAATCAACTATCCTTTTAAGTAAATTAGTACGATGTTATATTTTGGATTCGATTAATGTTGAATATTAATTTCGACCCCACTTTTCATGAGTTGTCATAAATAAAACCTGATTCTCGAATTTTTCATGCAGAACACTATGAATTGTAAGTCTCATCAACTTTACGATCTGGCAATATTTTAGTATATCCATACAAATCCTGATCAAATAGTCTGACATTTTATGTAAACCGTAGCATTCTTATAGTAATTGCATTTTCTCTGCTTTTTTTAGCCCGCCGTGTTACGAAATTAACTGATAAGATCGTAAATCCTGTGGATGTAAACTTTAAACCTAATTATGAGAACTCAAGCATAAATTATTCAACTTTATCTCCTGGGGTAACCCCATCAAATCCACCGATCTTTCCATCTCCTACTTCAATCAATTCCCCCAACCTTTCTGTATCAAATGTTTCATATTCTTTACGCATCCCGAACTCTAGCGAAACCCCAGTAATTTCTCATCCGAAATATCTGTGCCTCCAAAACTCCCCGCACCCAGTTTGCCAGTATCGATCCCAAGTTACTCCCGTCGTTAGAACTAATCCCACAGAGTGCCAGACACGTATTTCTACACGTAGTACGGATTCATTATTGGATGAAAATCATTTTGTGATTGAAGAGGAAATACCCACTACTTCTATTTGTGCAAAGGACTCCCTCCATTTAAATAAAATAACTGGCCATCTTAGTGGACAGAATCTTAAGGATGTTCGATACGTGAGTCGCTCACGTAATACCAGCAGATTGTCTCCTGTATCTTCAGTATCTAAAAGATATGGTAATTCGGATGATAACAAATGTGATGTGAAGTTGAAAAACAAAGATAAAGTTATGATTGTATACAAGGAACCACCAAAGCGTCGGAAATCTATTGATCAGCTCATTGAACCTTCGATTCATGGATTACCAGATCCTGAAATTTCCACTAAACCTCGTACACGAAAACCAACTCAATTTTTACAACTTAATGCACAAACTACTGAGTCTTCGTGTAATGATCGAAAGCCTGCCTATCTCACTACTCAGTCATATTATTATGTACCAGATTTTACTAACCGTCATCCCCGAAGTCCAGAAACTGTCCAAGTTCATGTGATAGAGCCGAGAGGTATACCAAAGATGTCCAATTCAGCTGTTCTTATTGAGGGTAAGTTATATTTTTGCTGTTATCTCGTCAATTTCCGACCACAATTTTATTTAAAAGTATTATCATATAAGGTTATCTCTTCAATTTGAGGGCTAAAAAAGTCATGTACAAGTGGTATTTGATTGGCAAAAGTACGAAACTAACAAGCTAAGTTTGTAGGCTCCAACGACGGCGTTAGGGAATATATATAGCTGTCATTAGGTTTTGTTAATTTTTTATGTGAACTAAAAGAAAAACAGAAATCGAAGGTTTTGATGCTTTTGATAGACTCATCTAATGAAATAAGAGTACATCAGAATTTCAATTAATAGCTTTCTGGTTTAAAAGTATTCTGTTTGTTAATTAATCGAACTGCTGAAATATGGTAACGAAAAACAATCTCAATGTTATTTTACATTATTACCCATCAAGCAAGTCATGACAAAACTTTTACACTACTACCGATGCTAGGAACTTACCTGTTATTATTTTATGACTGAAGTACACATTAAGTTCAAATTTTCTAAAAGTTACAGAAGTCCATTCTACCACTCCTATAATCATGGTGACCTTTTCAAAACTGAAGATTTTTACTCATGTAACTCTAGTTAATTGTAAGTTCATTTGGTTTTAAACTGCATGTTCTCCACGTTACTGGAGTGCCGAAGCTAGAATAGATGCGGTGATGACCAAACTTGCGATCTACTGGTTTATTGTCAAGTGATTTTGTCACTAAGCCATTAATCTATGACTTTCCAAAATGTTAAGTATTGTAGTCAGTATCGTCATGAATTACTGCTGTTTTTATGTATATTATTTATATGACCCTCATTCTTTAACTAATGTTCTTTTACAATACACACCAAGCAAACCTCTTCTCCACAGCATCTTGTGATAAAAGAGGATTCATATACAGAAGAACTCGACAATATACGTTTCAGAAATAATTTGTAGCTAAAATTATTTGTCGACTAGGTATTCAGTTTTGTCCCCATAATTTATTATTGCGATTTTTCCCCATACAAGCCTCATTTTTTACATTTCTTTGTTTAGTTCCTAGCTGGCGTGTTATACCTATCCCAGGTGTCGAGATCTATATGGATTGTTCTTGTGGGACAAAACATTCCAAATCATGCCCCAAAAAACACCCAGACAGACGAAAACTAACAGATACGGATACTCTTAAATCATGTAATCTCCGCGCCTTACGATCCAGCTTACTGACTATTAACTCTGTCCATTCAAATAAAAATTATCCAACTCCAGAACTTAAGTCAAAACCCAGGTCTAGATCTTCCCAGACACAAAAAGAGCATTACCAAGTTGGAGAGCCTATCAAATCAGTTGGCGTTTTGAATGAAAACATATCAGACCCAGCATTCCTTGCTCGCCATTCGCGTTTGGAAATTGAGGAAGTTCGTCACGAACGCTTATCTCGCCAACGTACTGCAGAACAAGAACTAAAGCAACGTTTGGAAGAAAGGGATCAAGCCAGCTGGGTAAGGGAGAAGCGCTTTACACTGAGTTATCTAAGAGTTAGTAAAAAAAATCTAATTTATCAGTATGTTAATATTTTCGTATATGATAGTTCGGGTTTCAACCATTCGGTAGTGTAACATGTCTAGTAACTACATGTTTAATCCTATGTTAACTACTTGCCACATGTACATGGAGAATCAGTTTACTACATTTCACAGCTGTATTGTTAAATCTTGGTTAGTGGTGTCCTGTAATTGCCTAGCTTTTTGAAGTATAGTTCTGGGGATCTAACATCCCCAACAAATCCCAGCTATAAACTCCGTTAAGAAGCGACTTACTAGTTTAAGAGAATTTAAACTGCTTGTAATATTCGTTCAGTTTTTGCACTGTTTGTGTGTGAAGTAGATTTCTTTCGTCGTCCACCAATTTCACAACCTTATTTTATGAAGCTTTTTTATATCCATTCCCTTGATTAGCATAAGAGACAACCTGGTCGTTTGGATCCACTTCTGAAGTATAGACCAGCTAGTCGGATGCCGACTCAGCTAAGCTACGCACTCAAGGAAGGTAAGAACTTTTTTTGGAAACATTTTTTAATTCTTCCTTTTTCGATCCATATTTTAGCATCATTAAAAGAACTCGTTTCGATCCAATAGAATTTATAAACTGGTTTATGGGTCATTAAGTATTTTATCTTCGTGTTTAAGTTGTGAATTTTCAGATATTATTCAGTTCATTTAGTCCGTTAAGGCCGATATCCTTGATGAAAGCCGTGTGATTCTCAGTTCATATTGTCATAGATTATTACCCATATCGAATTGTATGCAGAAAGTTAATAAAAATAAGAGTCTATGCTCACTTAAAGTCCCATATTTATGCTGCAACATTATATGACTTAATAATTCGCCTGCTAAGTAAATCAAGATTATGTATCCACTCAGTGTTCAGTAGGACGATAATACTTGAGTTACATTAAACTGCTCTGATTCTCCCACTCTAGTCCGACTAACGTAACTCAATCCACATTTTCACCAATTAATTTACTTTCCCTAAATAGATCACCTGACTTCAATGCAACAGGATAATATGAATCACAGTCAACATATTTCTACATCGTTTACTTACCACTACTACAATAACAACATTTATAAAAAGACACTTTATGATTATTTTTAGGTTTGTTTTGATTTACTGGTTACTCAAAATCATTTTATACATCTTCAGACCATATTTTGAAAATTTGTTCCTTGTTTATCAACCCAATGTTTCCACCCTATCAATCTTTGTTATTTACTTTTTCCCAAGGACATCAATTTCACATAGACAACTCTATACCGGTGGTCGCATTCGGTTGTCGTGTGCCAATAGCCTCACTAAAGTAAGTGATTGATACTTGTTCTCATAATTCGGCTAATACCTTATACTTTATACATTGTTTTCCTTTTTTAATAGTTTTACAACTATAACTGGTTGTGTTGTTGCAACAATTTCTGACACTAGTTGTGAACAGTTGACTGCAATCTATGGTCATCAAATAAAAAGATTGTCGAAAAATAACTGATAGCTGCTAACTTATCATCCACGGCTGAATAAAAACGATTACTTGTGCGAAATACAACGAGTGAATGTGTCTGTCGTATTTGATGTAGTCCACTTATAATCTTGGATCACTAGTTTCTATCATCTAGAGACTCTTCTCCAAAAACCTGCATTTCCCTATAAATAAAAAATCGTAGATTGATCCTATGGTTAGATTAATATCAACGTTGACAAGAGTTACTGACCAGTCGAAAAATGATGCATGGAATAAATCAATTTCTGGAAGTTTTATAAAGATTTCAGTGTAATCTATACTTCATGTTCATCTTTTCTTTTTTATTGATATCGTATTCAGTACTTTGAAATCATTGTTGTAATGGAAATATAAATATCAGGGACTGTTTATTGATTGACTTGGCCATTAATTTCCTCTCACTGTTGAAGTAGTAGTACATAGTTATGCAATATCGTATGTCATTGGCTGCCGTACAGCCAAACAAAATACGTGGGATTCAGATCACGACAGGTAGAAATCTTGTATATGGAAAGATAGTTGCATATTCGTGGTTCCAGTTCAAGTGGTGAGGTGTCACATTCATTATTCAGTATTCGGTGTCAACAGTCTCTACAAACTATTCACCATTGATTCATAAATTTTAATTTATGAACCATAACTTAGGGCGACTTGTCTTCATGGACTTTAACTCAACCTTACCGTTTTAATGATAGTGCTTTTAATTATGTTACTAAACATTCGAACCAAGTAGGTTTAGGGGGACACCTTATTCAGCAATGTCGGTATATTTATTTATTTGAACACATAAACATTGGTACAAGAGAGCGCCAATATATATGCGCCACACAAAACAGTGAGAATTCGAGGAGAAAGAAAAAAAGGTAAGGAGCGTGAAAAAAGAGAACAATAACGAAGAGGTTGGTGTAAGGTAGTGTAGTAATAATAATAGTAATAATGAGGGAACGGAAAGGTACAATCAGAAGAAATCTTTCAGTTAAGGGAGACACAACCACTTTTTATGAAGAAAGTAAAAGAAGGTTACAGCAGGATCGCCACTGGCTTCTATTCTGAGCCATATCTAATAACGTCTCTAGCCACTGTGTAGCACCATCTATCGGACCCCAACAAGGGAGTCGTGAAGGGCCGACAGAAGCCAGTCCTTTGCAGCTTTTTTTCATACCATGACACCATGTCATCACTGACCACCTCTCCGCTTCTTCCAACCAGTCTCAGAGTCGGCAAATAATGCACGACGTGGAATTCTCTGGGACGACATTCGTAGAACATGTCCAAGCCACCGAAGTCGGTGTTTCAAGATGGTGACATCGATTGCAATGTCGGTAACTGTAATATTTGTGAAGAATTTAATCTTTATAGCTTTTGGACATCCATCATCGCGCTTTTTATTTTTCTCTTTATAGACCGTTCACAAAGTTCAGCATTCAATAAATTCGCACTAAAGTCAGGTTATTCATAGCATGTATAGTCTTTCGTTTTAACTTTTGAAGCTTTTCACATTGTATATATTAGCTTTTGTTACACTATTGTTCCTACGATTTATCCTTCCATCATCAGTTGGCTAAGTGCTTGATTCCTGTTATCTACTCTCACAAATACAATATACTGACCCTAAAGGTGCTCCCTTTGAATTTTTTCTTTGTTAATATCAAATTCATTTTCATCCTTGGACTGGCGTTATTATTATTTGATTAAATCATCCATATATCTGTTTTTCGATAAGGTTCATTTTCTAAATGGTACTATATTTAAAAAAAAATTACGAATCAAACTTTATGTTATTGTAATTCAGTAGTTTAACTTCAGCTATTTTAAGCGCTACGAGAAACGCTTTAAATAATCCACTTAATAAGTTTGTCGTAATGACCGTAAAGCTCTGTATAGAATTCCACATGTCTTTTACGCTAGTTTTTCTTCCAGCTTACTACACTATCTAAATACATGTATGCATTTCTTTTCATATAAAAGATCTGTATTTATAATTCTATTGTTTTCATTAAATCCACTACTAGTTGTCATCAGTTAACTTTACACTTTAACACAATAAAAGTTAGTAATGTTTACTCCTGTAAAAAAGTATTTGATGGTAAAACATTTAGGTAAGGTACTAGTTAATTCTTATCCTGGTATTTATGTCGAAATGAAAACTGAAGGGATAGGTGAATAAAAACGAGGTATTAAAAGTATAGCTTGGAGAGGTATTTTTCTGCTACAGAAAATAAAACAAACGACAATCTCGGCTCTAAGCTAAAATCATGTGTGGCAATTTCTGCAACGGTCTCTAAACTGAGACCAATGAAATTACCTGTATTTTTCACCTCCGGACGGGTGCTGTGAGCTTGCTCAACCCCGTCCACGGGTCGGCCTCGTATTGCATTATCTCAAGGATTGGCTAGCCCCCAAACGCCCTGGTACGACCAAGGGTGGGGAGAGTCCGCTCTCCCTCTCAAAATGCTCACATGGCCACGCATATACGGTTACTGCCAGGAAGGTCCTACTCACTGCCTTCTCGCGGCATTACTATTGTTTACAAAATTGAGAGGACGAAAAGCGAATGTCAAGCGCCCTAACCAGGCTGGTGGATATGGAGGATCCACCTAGAGTAGTTGAAAAATTCTGATTCCGAAACAACGGTGTACATGGGTTCCGGTATTCTGAGGGAACAAATGGCGTATGAACCAATCCTTGGTCACCGGCTACCGTAGGACTGCATCTCCCTACGTTGGTCCACTGCTTTGTGGATCAGAATTTAGGGTCAAAGTCTCTGAGTGTGACCCCCTAGGAAAACCACCCGCTTCGGTCTGTGCACCCGGGCAGTATCACAGCCCACACACAAATGAAGTGATTTGTGTGGCGCATATGTATTCAGTGCCCCTTTGTACCAATATTCATGTTTTCGAATAAGTAAGCGGAGATAATAAGACTTCACATCATGTACTTCCCATAGGGAACCAACATATCCAGCTCTATCGCTTTTCACTGTTAGGAAACCTGTGCCACTTATGCTACTGTTTGTAAAGTGTTCAAGTATTCATAAGGACAAATATTTTTCAAGATCTTTGATCAATTCTTTAGGTTGGTAAGACTCACTACTGATCAAGATTATTTAGGCATCAAGCATAAATATCCTTCGTATTCACAGATTTCGTGTACCTTTCATCACGGAAGAACTTATCTGGATGTGGTGAACTGTTATTGAATTATCAGGGTTATTTGTGACTCGATAATATATCGATCTGTATGGTTACATGGTGATCTTTATTAACGGTCGTAAAAACATTTTATATTCTTATGTTTAGCATTATGTGCCAGATTGCATGAGGGTGAATCATAAGGTGATGCTACGTCATAATTGAGGTGATCACCCTGTGAAACCGAACCCATAGATAGTTTTTTCCTAGAACCTAGTTGCACACATTAAAATCCTGAATGACTACTGTCTCACGACTCTGGGAGTTTTGTGTTAGTGATTGCCTTACCTTGAGTCTTAATAATTTTGGTGTTGGTGACGTCAATTTGGTTGATAATAGAACGAGGGAGGCAAGATACACAAATTCAGATCTCATCAGACTTATTCTCACACCGAGCAGAAATTATTTTCTTTGTTAAATTTAGACAATCTTAAGTGATAAGGTAAAGTGTATATAAAGCAGGTCGTGTTTTACCACACTACATTTCATACAGTCAGTACAAGTTGATTTATCAAAATGTTTTTATATAAATAGGTAGAAATGTGAAGTAAATTAACATTAAACTTATCGAGACTGTTGGAAGCAACTAATGTAAGCAATAGTATGAACATAAGATTCAGGCCATTTCGATAACTACAACAATGAGTGCTCGCATAAGACAGTATTGTGATTTCTAAATTTTACGCAAAAACCTAAAAGTTGCTTGTAGATTCTGATCATCTTGTTCTTATACTATTCTTTACCTATATTATCCATTAATATTCATCTTGATACTTATTTTTGACACATTAAACGCACTGTTTAGCTTCCTTTAAAGCAATTGGATTTTTCCACACGACACTACCTATCATATCATTTGTTCAACTTGGGCAACCAATTGACCTAGAAATATCTCGTCACCAAGTAAATTCATTCTATAAAATTAACATTTCCATATTTTCACTCTGATCAATGGATTTTGAAGGTTACCCTCATATTTTTATTAGTCGTTGTGGTATATTAAGAAATACTAAAAAAGTTGGTATCATATGACAGACTTTTATCTCAAGGTCAGTGGATGTTCATTCGTTATTTCTTTATTTTTCGAGATTAGATTTATAGGATTATCAATACTATAGACATGAAGAATATATAATCGTATCTTGATTTAGTTGACAACATAATTTACAACAATGGACAAATTATCAATCAATTGTAATGGTATCACAGTGACTAATAATGTTACTTTTGTTTTCAATATAAATACAGTTCAGATCTAAATTAATAAAGTAATTAATTTTATATGTAACTACCATGAGTAATACATGAAGAATAAGATTTAGTGAATATGTTGGCTGTTACATCATTAGTAAATGCTTGATACATCCAGCTGAGGAATCTTAACGATGCAAATCTTAAAAATAATCCTTAATGTAGTTAACAACACTTAAAGTGCTCTCAACTTGTAGTTTGACCATTATATGACCTCAGTAATCCAGTTTTCAATAATTCTAGAAACAAACCATAATTTTTCTGTAGTTACTTAAATGGTATCGATTTAGAATGAAAATTGCTTTTAAAATTGACAAATGATTGATAGTTGTCAACTTGAATTGTAGTCATCAATAGAACTTAGGACTGGTGATTTGTCATGTTTGAGACTTACCATTTGGATGTTCCTTCATCCCAGTCTTGATGTTTACTCTGAGGTTTGAAACCAGTACCTATCACCTCGAAAATCTAACTGACGAATCCCAAACATGACGGAAAGAACATACTAGGTTCTACTGCTAGCCACAATCCACCTTTATTAAAATATGCCACTAAATGGTAGCGTCATAGTAATACTGTAGGGATGTACATATGCCGATAGAGGCTGATCAGTTACTGTCATTAATACCAATAGTTGGAAGATACAAATCTTTACAAATTAACTGATGACGTATAATTTTGAGATGTTTAGAGATAGTTTGAACCAGTGAATAATCTTGAAATGATAATTATTGAAAATCCGAGAATGACATATCTGTTACATTTTGGCATAAAATTCTTCCGGAGTAAGCACACAAGACTATATGAGGAACTGAAACTAGAGTCATTAGGCGAGTGTAGTGTACTTATTCCACTGATTTGGCACCTTAATAAGGTGGGCTATTGAAGGGAGTCGACTATGTACCTATTGAAGATTTCGGCCTATACGTTTGTCTAAGTATGAATAACAATTATATATATATATATATATATATATATATATATATATATATATATACCTCAACATTTACAAGGGAAAAAGCGAGATTCTGAAGCACAACATAGCGAGCACCGCCAAAGTCACACGTGATACTCTGGGACACGTTAGAGCCTTATCTAACTGGACACCATCGTTGGTAAACAAGGAGGATCTGATGCAGATGTGAAGAAACGAATTGTCAAAGCAAGGAAGAGTTTCTTGTAGTTGGAGAGTGTCTAAAACTCTGAAGTACTATCATGCATGATCCAAGTCAGAATTTCCAACATTTGAAACGTCAAAACAGTTCTACCGTACTGAGCTGAGAATTGGAGAACTACCCCAAGCTTCTAAAATAGAGTACAGGTATTTATAAATAGTCGTCTATTGGAAATACTCTAGATCCGTTTGACCAGAGACCAGATAACAAATGAAGTACCGGATAAGGGGGGAATTGGGAAAAGATGATTGAGGTGGATCGGACACAGCTTACGGAACCCATTAAACTGTATCACAAGGCAAGTCCTAATCGGTAGACTTCAAGACAAAAAGTAAGGCAGACCGACTAAACGTTTGGAGTCGAACATCAAGATCATCGATCGCACTTGGCAACAGTTGGAGAAAGGATCCCAGGACATATTTACTTGTCGATCTTTTGTCTGTGTTCTCCTATGTTTCAATATTAGTAACAGGCCTAAGTAGGTAAGTAAGTATCGTAAGAGGCGGATGGATATAAGTGGGACAGTGATAACAAACTTCACATCTAAAAAATGTATTTTTATAGGCTGAATATCCTTCCGTGAGATTATATAGATGCTACAACGTATTCCCACTGTTTACTACTATATAAATATGACGAAAATTAAGTTTGTCATTAAACAGTCTACAAATACTGAACTAGCGAAAATCTAGTTTTACAGATATGTAGGGTAATAATTCGCAAATACTTTATGAATTGTGCAATTTACTTCGGAACTATTAAAAATTAAGTTATCTTAATGATGAGTTATCTGTTGAAATTTGCTCAATTTTCTAACCATAACTTATTATGAAATATACAGTCGTACATAGCAAATGAAGTTTGTTATTAGTATATACATGATGATTGTTGTTATAGGATGTTGTAAGGATTATTCAATTTGATTTTTCAAACTGATGATTGATTATGGTTATAAGGTTTAAATTAAACAATTTCCGCAGCAACCTATTATTATTTAGTTTTTGTTGAAACCTGAGTTGTGAAAGGATTTGCAGTGACTCACATTTATCACGAGAACACGACTGGTTTAATAAAAAGAATTATTATTATGACCAACTGTACCAGTGTTTGTTTTAACGTGCTTTTGTTTGACTGTGCTAAAGACAGCTATATTGTGCTTCCATACTCACAATTTTGATTGTGACTTCGCGCGAATTCGGTTACGTTCTGTAACCAAGCTTGTATCCTGGCACGATCTCGGTATCCTTCCGATGCCACGAGATCGCCAGCAAATATATCTCGATTTGGTCCATTAACTGCCTTCTAATATTTGGCTTCTCGGGGATTTTATGAATTTATTTGGTTACGTTCAACCCTCGCCTTCTG